GACGCCGCAAGGTTTTTTCCGGCACAGTTAAAGGCTATATCTGATAACTAATAGCGCACTGCGTTTGGCTCAAAGCAGAGGGCACAGAAATCAGGTCCTTCTTCTTCGATTAAATCAAGCTGTCTTTTGCCTGTAGTTGCTGGAAAGGGAGCTCTAGACGTGCCACCTTTGGGTAACCAAGACATCAGTTGGATAATGTTGGTGCTGGTTGAGAACGATTATGAATAAAGCAGTTGCAGAATTGAAGGATAGGTGGATGAAGCATGTTCTGTTTTGAAAAGAAAAAGATCCAGTCACTAATTTCATGTGGCCCGAATTTTGTCTTGAAGCCCACGAAGTTCTACTTCTTCCAAGACTTTAAACATACCTTATTCGAAGGGAGATAATGACCAAGTCTCATTTGTCTGAGTTCATTCGTGTTTGCCCAGTTGCCCAGATGAACCGGTATGATGAAGAGGATGTGTTACGGGCATTTCCTCAAACGTTGCACAAGAGCTATAGGAAATGGTATGACAGTTTGGATGTGGAGATACAGAGAGATTGGGTCAAGCTTCAGACTGCTTTTCTCAAGAACTTTAAAACAGATGACAGTGATGAGTTTGGTCTCCGCGATTTGGAGAGTTTAAAGCAAAGGAAGGATGAAAGCTTCTCCGATTACTACAGAAGATGGAGAACAAATTTGTTTATGGTCCAGACGAGGCCAAAGGATCAAGAGTTGATCCGGATTTTTAGTCGAAGCTTATTACCTTACTTTAAGGAGAGGATGTTCGCTCAACCTCTCACCGACTTTTCTCTGGTACAAAGGGTTGGATTAAATATTGAAGAGTTGTACAACGAAGAAAAAAAGAAAAGCCGGGGGTTTGGTAATTACCGGTCTTCCTATAGTGATCAGAATAGAAATGCTGGTAATGCTGCTACAAACCAGTCGGGGAGTAGGAGTAGCAAAACAGTTGGAGCTGTTTAATGAGAATAATGAGAAGGGAATTTCCACTGATTTAGGTAGACCTTTAAGCCAATTATGAGACTTGGCATCAAGAATGGGTGGGTGTTGTCCAACAGTTTACAATTGATTCGTCTAGGCCTATTCGGGGTAGGTTTGTTGATCAAGACTGTGAGTATCATCAATGCAAAGGTCATTCTACCGATGATTGCTTCAAGCTCAGAGATGATATACAAGATTTGATAGATAGTGGGAAGATCACTAAGCCTTTTGAGCATAGTAAGCCGAGCACACGGAATAATCCTTTGCCGTAGTACCAGTATAACTATCCATCTCACAAGTCTCAAACAGGTGGATCAGTTAATGAAATTGGAAGTGGTTTGCCTGAAAGTTAATGCGATTGGAAGTGGTTTGCCTGAAGAGTTGGTATTGGCAGAGGCGGAGTTGGAAGAGAGGATGTGTGCTATGTTAAACATTTGGGATGACTGTAGCAGTGAAGAAGAAGTGGAAAGGAAGCCAGTGAAAGTCGAGATAGAAAAGAGTATCACAGTCAAGATTAGGGAGATACCAAACAATGAAGATGAACAGGTTCAGCTAGCAATTTAGAACAGTTTGGCTGATCAAGCGAACCAGTGGTATTACAGTAGAACCAGTGGTATTACAGTAGTGATGATGATGTGAATGAAGTTGGTGTCCAGAGTTTGACCCGGAGCGGTCGTGTATACAATCCTGACAACAATTCCTTGGTCATAGGAAAAGGAATTGTCATGGATGGGACGGAAAAGAAGATATCAGAGAAAGGTGAAGAGCAACTCAAAGAGAAGAAAAAGGAAGTTGAAGTGGATAAAGCACAGAAGAAGGTTACTGAAATAGGTGAAAGTAGCCAGAATAAAGTACCGAGTGGGGTGACAGCAAATTCAATACTAAGTCAATTACAGAGGACTAAGGCTGACATCTTGTTATGGGATTTATTGATAGCTTCAAAAGAACACAGAAAGCTCTATTTGAGCCTATGACGTTTGTCAGAGTTCCTGCAAGAATTCAGAGTGTGGATATGATTAACGTGCTGCAGCGCAGGATAGGTGAGGTAACTTTCTTCGATAACTTTTCTTCCGATCCGGATCTTCCTGCCCGAAGGTAGAAACCAATTTTAAAGCCTCTATGCATCCCAAGTTGGTGGTTAATGGAAGAGAGACCCGTAATGTGATGGTTTGATAATGGGTCCCTCAGCATTGTTGCGTTTTTGTCCGCTAAAATGTTATTATCCAAGTTCAAGATTGAAGAGTTGGAGCCGTCGAGCCATCTACCATGGGTTGCTAAAAAATCCTATGATGATACGATGCCGTAGTGCTAAGGGAAATATTCCCAGAGCAAAAGATCTTCAACAGGAGTGGTAGAGAGTTTGAGATGGAAGTGATAGTCTTGGACGATCTTGGCCTAATTATGCTTTGCTGTTGGGAAGGGCTAATTATGCTTTGCTGTTGGGAAGGTCGTGGCTTCATCCTTTGGGTGCGATTCCATCCACATTGCACAGAAAAGTCAAGATACCTTGGGGCACTGATGCTGTAACGATTAATGCTCAGGAAGAACTAAATGTTGCTGCTGTGGAAGGTTTAGAGGCAGCTGTGCCCTTATCTGGATTTCAAGTGGCTGTAATTGACAATGTTATAATCACTGAAGGGAAAAGTGTAGTTAATAGGATGAGCCCTTTCTCTTGAAAGATGATGAAGAAAATGCAGTGGAAGTACGGCAAGGGGTTAGGCCGATATTTGCAAGGCAGGTTTGAACCAGTGCCATCTTCATGTGGTCAGAAGCACCGATACAGTTTGGGGTACTCAAAGAATAGGAAGAAAGAGAAGTGTGAAATTCAGTCTCCGAAGAAAGAGCCGAGATTGAACAGGATTTTCTTTACCCCAGAGGAACAGATCATCAAGTCTCCAGAGCCTTCCTTTGTTATGAGCAATTAGTGGATGGTACACAATTTATGATTGGTATGGTTCAAGTAGGAAGTGGCTCAGAATGGTCCCAGAAGATGCCAGAGTTTGAAGACTTTCTCGGGATTGGGGACGAAGCTTCAAAAATGATTCAAGAGTAGAAGTCTAAGGCGAGGATCCTCCAATCATTGCTAGCAGCAGAAGATGCAGAGGAAGCCGAGAGGAAGATGCTGGTGATGTCAAAGCACACAGAGATGAAAGAAAAAGCTGCCCCAGATACCGAGGATGCTCCTGGTGCCGATGAAGTAGTATAAGCCATTAAAGATAGTTGTGATGAGTGTATTGAACAAGCTCTTAATCTTGTTTTTTGTTTTTCTGAATGTTGCTTTGAGAACGATCTGGGTGGATTTCCTTTACTATTTCAATCAATGGAAGTGAATTTTGATTACTTGTTTTCTTGTTTTCTCGATTGTGGTGTTCATGGCATTGATTATACCTCACGCATATTTGACATGAATGCATTGCATAATTTTGCATTTAACCTAAGCACCGCTGAAGATCCCAAAATAATGGAAATCGGATCAGACTTTAAGCTTGAGCTCAGAAAGGATCTCCAAGAATGTCTCAAGAGGAATTCAGAAGTCTTTGCTGAGCATTTCATACCCTACCGATCCGAATATAAGCCAGTAAAAGGCAAAAAAGAAGAACGGGGTCCAGACTAGAGTGGCTAAGACAAGATCAAGGCTAAGGTTTCAGAAGTAGCTAGATGCAGGTTTCTTGGAGATGCAGGTTTCTTGGAGGTAGTGCATTACCCTGAGTGGTTAGCAAACATAGTCCCTGTGCTTAAGAAGGATGGGAGACTAAGAGTCTGTGTCGATTACAGAGATTTAACAAAGCCTCGCCCAAAGATGACTTCCCACTTTCACATATAGATGTTCTGATCGACAGTGCTGTAGGAATGGGATGTTATTCCATTATGGACGGATTCTCAGGGTATAACCAAATCCTGATGGCTTTAATTGACAAGCACAAGACCGCCTTCACTATCGATTTTGGGACCTTCTGTTATAGGGTGATGCCATTTGGGTTGAAGAAGGGTTAGAAGGATGCGGAGCAACATATCAGAGAATGGCTACAACCTTTGTTTTTTCATGATATGATCCGTTAAAGGATTGGAGGATATGTGATGAATATGTGGCATGACAAAAACACAAGAAGAACATACGGAGATGTTAGAAAAGTTCTTCACGCGGGTCAAACAATACAATTTAAGACTCAATCCCAAAAAGTGCATATTGGAGTAAGCATATTTGGAGTAATGAAGGGGAAGTTGTTAGGTTTTGTTGTGGGACCTAACGGGATTGAGATTGACCCAGATAAAATAAAAGCCATTCAAGACATGAAACCGTCGAGGACAGAGCGTCAGGTGAGAAGCTTCTTGGGGAAGATCCAGTATATCAGTAGGTTCATTTCCAGATTATCTATTACCTGTGCTCTGATCTTCAAGTTACTTAGGAAGAACCAGCTGGTCAGATGGAACGAGGATTTTCAGAAGGCCTTTAATCATATAAAGGAGTACTTGATGAACCCACCAGTGTTAAGTTCTCCTAGACTGGGAGAACCTTTGATTCTGTACTTGTCTGTAGAGGATGCGGGAGTTGGAGCTATGTTGGCATAGCCAGATGCTACTGGAGTAGAAAAGGCATCTATTATATCAGTAAGAAATTACTGCCTATTGAGGAGAAGTATAATTTTATAATTTTGATAGAGAAGACATGTATGGCAGTGGTGTGGGTCGATTAATGAAGTTGAGGCCTTACTTTGGATTCTTTCAGACCGCACCTTTGTTTTCGTAAAGTTGATCCTATGAAGTATCTTCAGAAAACACCTACTCTAGAAGGACGGTTTGTCCAATGGTTTAATTCAGATGTCCCGTGGTAGAATACGGAGTTCTATCACAAAGAAGACGGTCAAAGGTCCGGGTTGCTTGCAGAATTCTGGCTGAGATCCCATCGCAGATGAATGAACCCATGGGGAACTAGAAAACTTCCAGACGAACAATCTGTGTTATGTGTTGAATAAAAGGGGTTCTGGAAACTATACTTTTGATGGATTAGCCAATAGGAATGGAAGCTGGAGCTGGGTATTGTGATAGAAGTGCCCAATGGCGAGGGGACAACAATGTGGCAAAAGGTTGTTGTTCCCAGTCACCGAATAATATGGCAGAATACGAAAAAGCATGTAATATGGAATCGAGTCTCTTTCTTGCAACAGGCGCTAAGGAGGTTGAAGGTGAATAGGAGATCTATTGTTGGTTATTGAGACATGCCAATTGAAGATTGGAAAGTTGAAGGAAGATAGGCTGAAGCCCTATGTTTGAAATACTTGTTCCAGGAAAGCAGCAATCTTTGATCAGATCAACTTTTTACTCAGAAGAAACCAGTAGGTAGAACTCATAAACCAGAATCCAGATGCTTTCTGGCAAACCTAGCCCTCGGGCGTTGGCAGGATTTGAGTAAGATCCAAAGAAGCCTTTATCAAATTACCGCAGCAGAATATGCCATTGCTATGAAAGGAACATTTGTGATTAGGTTGAGTCAGAGGGAAGAACCTTGGTTTAATGGATATTTTGGGCAATACATGAAAGCTGGAAACCTTTTCTGATGTGCAACAAAAGGAAGACCAAATCGGTTTCAAGGAAAATGGGCTTGAATTATGTCCTAGCCGGATGGTGAAGCTGTAATAGGAGGCCTGGAATGGAATGCTTCTGAGATTGTGGTAGGCAAGAAGGAAGAAAACGAGATAATGAAGAAGATCCATGATCTGGAGTCTGCTGGTAACTCATTTAAGTGGCATGAGTTTGGCCCAGAATGAGGCAAGGCTACTTTTGAGGTGGCAGATGGAAAGGTGACAGCCTGTCAGCTATATTCCGTCATCTGCAAAGCCCTCCAGTACTACCATGATAACAAAAATCATTTGCCTGCTGTCGAGCTCCATCCAACAACTCCTTCTTGGCCTTTTTCAGCCTGGGGTATAGATATTATTGGCAAGATCATACCGGTAGCATCAAATGCTCATCAGTATATCTTAGTCGCTGTGGACTACTTTTCCAGATGGATTGAAGCTCAGTCCTACAAAACTTTGAATGCCAAACAAGTGGCTAGATTTATTGAGCAAAACATTTTCTGTTGCTATAGTGTTCCTCATCACATAGTTACAGACAACGGTTCTCACTTCCAAGCAAACGTCAGTCAGTTGTTATACAGATATAAGGTTGAGCATCACCATTCTTCTCCTTATCGGCCTCAAGCTAATGGTGCAGTGGAAGCGGCCAATAAAGATATTAAGAGAATTCTGTCCAAAATTTGCGAGAAGTATAGAAGCTGGGCTGAGAAACTTCCTTTCGCACTTTGGGGGCATCGAACTACCTCCAAATGAGTGAATGGAGCTTCTCCTT